TTAAGCACTTACTGCAATTCTATCTGAAAGTCATTAAGATTCTCAAATTGCTGTCCTTTCAGCACTTTCTTCAGCTGTAAAAATAGAAAAAAGTCACATGGTGCCAAGTATGGTGAATACGAAAGGTGGGGAACCATGATCATTTTATTTTTGGTGAGAAACTGTTGAACAGAAATAGCTGTGTAAGTGGGGGCATTATTGTAATGCAACAATCAGTTCTGAGCTTGCCAAAGATGTGGTCTGTTTCAGCTGACATTTTCACATAGAGCCCTCAAAACATCCGGATGTTTTGAGGGCTCTATGTGAAAATGTCAGCTGATCATTCAGCTAAATTTTGCGTGGGAATTGTACGAGATTGAAAAAAACTGGCGATATTGTTACTGGACTTTTCAGGCATTCTTTGTTTTCATTCCTAATAATAGCTGTATAAAATTTTTGATTCAGTTTGACCTTGTAAAACAAATTTTCAAATTTATCCCATATTTCTAATTTTAAAAACTTTCCATATCTTTTGAGCATGTTTATACTGATATTTGAGCATGTTTATGTCTGATATGACACATCCATTTAATTGATTATAAAATTCTTCTTTTGAAGGTAGTTTTTCTTCTTTACATTTTTTTCCTCAAATCCACATAGTCATAGAGATAAATACTTTTCTAACCACAAGTTCTAATAGATGTTTTGGAATATATTTGGATGTTTCTCTGAATTAATCTTTTTTTAAATTTTTGGATATATTTGCAATGCTATTTGTCATAAATTTAAAGAAATCAATGAATCTAAATTTCAAACTACCAACCTTGTGATTAAAAAAAATATATATTTTTCTTCTATATTAGAAATGACATTAATCATCTTTGTACTTACCAAACACTTTAATAAATTTGCATCATATCTTGATAAATTATAAATAAATACTGGAACAAATTTTGAATTTTGATAACAAACTACAAGATTCATGAGCTGGACCTCTATATTTACCCATTAAATTATCGTGGTCACATTTTTTTTTTTTTTTACTATCTTTAAAATTATTACCATAAATGTGATAAATATCAGTACTTTGAAAATACTTCTTATCTTTTTTAGTCATCTTCAGTGGTTTGATATTTTTATATATTTTCTCATTTCTTTCATTTCTTCTATTAACATCTCAACACATTTATCCACTAGTTCAGATCCCATTTTATAGCCCGATCCAATCCCATTCAGATTATAGCCTGATTATTTTAAACAGTTCTGGATGTCTATCCTCTATATACAACTGGTTGGGCTGCAATTTGAAAAAAATCGTAGGTTTATAAATTCCCACTGTCATCCGTCTAGCTGTCTTTTCTTAATCTTGAGAATGAAGTTAGATAAATGAAAGACAAGACCAGACATGAAAAGCTTAGGGGCAGGAGGCCTCAATTAACTATGTATGAATTTCTGATGCAAAATGGAAGTCACAAAAAACTGCACATAAGTAAACTGGAATAGTAATACTCAAAGAAATAACACCTAAACACCAGTTCCAGCAAACAAGTAAAAAACTTTTACTGTTAGAATGTTTTTAGCCATACTTTTTCATTTGTTTGATGGAAATGGTGTTTAGGTGTTATTTCTTTGACTGGAAGTCATGTTATGTCAATTCAAAACTTTCCTCCAAAAGGAGATAATAGATAACTGGCATGACTCTATTGCTAACAGAAAAAATTTGATGTATTGAGCAAATCACTACTAATTTGAGGTGAAGTATATATTTTAAATTAAATAAATTTAAAAAATACTACTAAAAATTGCAGCCCAGCATTATGACGATGTCTCAATAAATAATTGCTCGTTCTTTATAATCGTCATGCTCATAGTTGATGTAAAAGCAAAAGCTCATTGGTTCAAGTTTCTGATATTTAATAGTATATAACTAGGATTGATTCGGCTGACATACATCCATCTTTCTCATCAGACATTCAAAATCTACATATATAATGAATGTACCTTTAAAGAATTGTTATTTTTAAAACAAATATACTCATCTCCTACAGGCATTTCAATCTTTATTCACTTTTTATTTTTGCAGTTACTTTTATTCTATTGAAAAATTACAAAAGTATGAAATCATATCATACATCACTCACATAGCTAAATTTTTGTTCCTCGTTTTGATAATTGTGAATTAATTAATCTAGATAGATTGTTAATCAAGCAATAATATGATTTGACAACTGCTACTTAATAACCAGTAATTATTATATAAAAATCAACACAATAAACACCTAAAATACTAGCAAGTTTTTTTGAAGCGCAAACATTTTTGTCTGTGTTAAACGCACATCATCAGGCAAGCAAACTGTTGTGAAAAAACTGGGGGTTGTGAAGTGACATATTGAGAGGGAGGGGGTTTACAGTTCGTAGAATGACTTCCATGCATAGGGGAAGGAATCAACATCATGAAAATTTATAGCTGCATTATGGCGGGTTGCCTTGTAGATTTCCACCTGTTCTAGATGTTTCAGCCCATGTGATTTTGATACGTAATGTAGGAAGTGTGTCTCTTGGAAGTCCACTTGGATGCCAGGAATGGATGCACATGTAGCCAAAGCCTTATTGTTTAATCCCTTTTTGACAGATATTTGATGTTCCTTAAGACAAACCTGCAATGGTCAAGATGTAGCACCTATGTATTGCAGGTGGCAGTTGTATCGATGGTCGCTGATGGAAATGCAGTAGATGTCTGGGAGATGGTCCTTGTTGGGACAGTCTTTGGTGTTATGGAGTAGAGAGGAGATAGCCGGACTTCTGCGGAAAGCCAAACAATAATCTTTTCCTCTTGCTATTTCTTTGTAAAGTGCGGCTAGTGACTTATTCTAGGTGGTGGTCTAGAACAGGGGTGGCCGACATTTTTTGCCCCCGGACTGAATTGGAAAGAAAACTTTTTTCATGGGCTGAACCAGAGGCTGCCCTAGGAAGATTTTGAGGTGATGCAAGATCTCATTGTGGTGTTACCCCATAGAGACTAAATTGTACATAGAGATTGCAGATACATTTTTCACATTATCATGCTTTATCAACATTTTACACTGTACTTAAGAGATTTGTAATGCGTTAACTCTAAACGCACAGTGAATTGTTAACCTTTTTTTTATTTTTATTTTTTTGGCATTCAAATTTTTCATCGAGCTATTCGGACTCAAGTAGCTAATATTGAAAGATCAATCGCAGTCTGCATAAATTCATTAGACGGGCCAGATCCAGCCCGTGGACCGTATGTTGGCCATGACTGTGTTAGGCGCTATCTCATATTAACATTAATAATTATAAATAANTTCTACATATATTGAAAGCAAAATGTTCTGTCATCACCAACCAAAACTGAAACTAACATTTTACCAAGAAGTGCTGTAAATAGAGACTCATCTCTGACTGCCTGCATGAAATATAACCAAATCAATCAAGACTGACAACAAGTACTTTATTCACACTTTCTGAAATATTGTTTCAACTGATTTCATTTCAATTTAAATTAATTAATTTAAATAATTTAGAACCGCTGAGATGTGTCCCCAGCCAGTGTTGTAATAACTGTCGATGGTTATAATGTTAGCTTATATATGCTGGAAGAGGAGATCGGACTAAAGGTCCGGATAGCGTAACTGGCAACACATCTGCATGGTAAGCAGGAGTTGTGGGTTCAAGTCCTGCTCCCGGCCAATTTTTTCTCCCAGCAGTTCTAAATTATTTAAATTAATCATTATTTTTATATTCAGTACTGCCTTTTTCAAGGTAATTTGATATACAATGACCCTTTTAATGGAACATATTTATTTTTGTCCTAATATTACTATAACTGAATATGTGAGAGCTATGTTTTGGATCTACAGAGGACTTATCACACATTATTGATGCAGCCAAAGAAATCACATAGAAATAGGCAAAAATAGATTATTTATTGTAATGACAATATGCATTTTGGACAGTCTATCTGTAACTCTTCAACTATGCTTGTTACAAATTGTGGGTTACAAGCGTTTAATGCACACATTCTAAACCCAAAAAAAAGAAGGCAACTACATCTGTTCTAAATTCCTCCACAGTGGCAATCAGTGAGGAAAAAAACTGAAATTTATAAAAGCAAATTATTTGATGGTTGCATTAATGCCAGGGATGTGGAAGGGTTAGCTATGGCATGGAAATTCAACATAAAAAAATTTACAAGATAGAAACTCGTAGTTTGCATACAACCTTCCATAAATAATACATATCTTTTATTTATTTATTACTATGTTAATTGCTATTAGTATTAATATTCATTTATTGGTTTGTTTATTACTTATTTATCTTTTATTTATTTCATTTTATGTTTTTTTTATATTCTGTATTTTAAATTTACGTTTAAATTGTGTGTGTTTGAATGCTCTTTCATGGTGCAATATTACACCTGATGATGATCTATAACATTTAGGTTGATAACATCTCTGATGGCAAATAAATATTTCTCAGCAAGCATACACGGTTACAAAAATTTGTTAAATATACAATATTAATCATTTTTTGATACTCCATTTTAATATATAATACATATATTAATTATGTAAAATATTAATGTATTTTCTTTTAATACACAGATAAGTTTACATCCAATGAGTTCTATACTAGGTTTATTTTTTATTCAATTTAAAACAAAGGAAATATTTTTATGTGATTAAAAAATTAATATAATTCATTTAGAAAACAAATATCCAATTATAAAATTGTAAGGTAATTCAGACTGTAAATCTGATATAAATCAGGACAGAATTTGCACTTTAAATGTTGTTATATCAAGAAATAGCAATCCAGAAAAAGAAATAGACGTCAAAAAATAATTTCCAATAGAATAACTTTCACTTCATATATATAAAATGAATTTTTATTATTATAGAATTTTCCAAGTATGATCACATTCTTATGCTGGATAAAAGCAAAGAATTAAACAATAAATTTAATATATTATAACTTAATATAATATATTTTCTTACCAGGCATAACTTCATTATAGGTAAATAAGAATTCATTCTGGAATAAGGTGTTGAAATTCAATGTAATATTTCCAGTGCGTTTAATAAACATGTCAGAAGGATGAACTTTTCCTGTAACAACAAAAATTTATAATTCCTAAATAACAATTACTTAATTTTATCTAGATTAAAACATTAAATATAATGGTTATCAAGTTTTAATAAAGTACATATTAATCCAGTTAAAAATTTCCTATTGGTTTACCATGGAATTTTAAATCTCAAATATATTCAGTCTAAATTTCCAATAGTACTGCTAAATGAGAATTAATAAGACTTTAGTCTAAATTCAAATTTAAAAATTTTACAATATTCATTGATTTTTATTTGTAAGAGATGCAAAAAATTTCATTTTATAGTCACTTTCATAGACTAGCTACTTAAGTATCTGGCAACTTGCAATCTGTAAAAATGTGGCTATCTTTGCTGTAATTTATAAAGCACACCTCCTTACTTTTACCAGAGGTGAAAAAGACATTGAGCTAAAGTGACTTAGGCCAAAAACTTTTTCTATGAGCAGCAGAACAAGTCTTTGTCTTAATATTTGATAAAAAAATGACAAATGCAAAAGACGACACAATTAAAACTTAAAAAAGCTATCAAATAAACAGTTCATGATAAATATAACTATAGCAAAAAGACTAGAATGGTATAGACAAGTTATGAGAATGAGTACAGGGGACTAGGAACGCATTAGGGGACAGAGGGTTCTAGACCACAAGGACAAGGACACCAAAAAGATGGATGGACTGTATTAGATTTGAAGCAATTGGGAATACATGATAGAAGAACAAAATTACAGAACAGAAAAGAGTGATGACACTATTCTAACACTAGCAAAAAATCTCAATGATGTCTAAAGCCATATGTTGATGAATTTTAAGATTTATATTCAGAGAAATAAATACTTATCTTTGAGAAATTTAAGAATAAAGTAAAAATGAAAGTAAATTATTTTAAAATATGTTTTCCCAAATATTATAAAAACCATTTGCAAAAAGTTTTGATAAACAACAAGAATGATCTCTTACCTGAGTAAGATTGTTTTGGATCAACATTTCCTGTAACAAAAAGCTGTCCTCCAGGAATGCTGAATTTTTCAAATGAAATACTTTGAACAGTATCTTCAGGTAAATTAAAGAGCCAACTGCAGGAAACATTTTCGTTCATTCTGTTGTTTGAGGAATTATATAAAGGACAGATTCCTATCCCAACTTTTGCAGTTATCTGATTGACACAAACTAAAAAAAAAACTTCATTATTTTATATTAATCTATTGTTAAAATGCTCAAAAATTTTTAAAATCAACAATATATTTAACAAATATTTTTGATTTTCTGGAGACCCTTCTCCAGTTTCATTAATGTAGAATTATTGAAATACATTCTAATTATTTCACATTAATACAACTTGAAGTAAACTTTCAAATAAAAAAAAAATATATNTCCAGCTGTGTAAACAATGACTCATCGGTGTCAAATTTCGCAGAAGGCGAGACAAAGGAAAATAAAGTTTGAAGCTTTTTCTTCAAAATTAACGCATTTCTTTCGTTTTTTTTCAGTTTTAAGTATTTTTTATGTTTAATTACATTAATATCAAAAATTGCTGGGAACTAAAGGGGCTAAACATTAAAATAAAACATGAGAAATTATACATATATACGCGAGTAAAACATTTTTAAAAAACTTTTAAAAAAACATACCTCAAAAGCACATATCACGAGCGTACAGATGTCGTACAGGATGGACAGTTTCATATTCTATATATCAAATGGACAATAAACAGATTCGAAGCTAACTGCTTGACGACAGGGCTTTCGAATATGACGTTCTGGTTAAATTCCAGATACGTATACCGTCATGGCGGCTCATCTCTGATTCCAGCAAACAAAAGAAAGGAAACAGTGGGGACGCACGTTCTAACCTAACCTATTCTAATAAATTACCATAATTATTACCAACCAAATTACTACAATAGGTTAGGTTAGGTTAGGTTAGAACGTGCGTCCCCACTGTTTGCTGGAATCAGAAATGAGCCGCCATGACGGGATACGTATCTGGAATTTAACCGACGTTCTTTAAGTTTATACAAATAATTCAGATAAATAAATTGAAATTTATAACATTTTTTAACAATATTTGTTTTACCTGTAATTTATATTCGTATATCATACCAAAATTCACACAATAACTGTTGTAACATTTTTTGTGACGAGTTTCACGCAAAGTCATCCCAGCGACAGTATTTGGTCTGCTAATTTACATATATATCAGTGAACTTATTTAAAGCTATTACATTAAATTGTACAAACCAATTATTAGTATTTGTTTTACCTGTAGTTGATATATGGACATCAAATTCACACGTTATCAGTTGTAGCTTTTCGTAAAACAAGTCTCGCATACAGTTATCTCAACGACACTATTTGGTCTACTAATTTACATATATAAGTGAGCTGATTTTTGAAACTATTTCAGTATACAATGGAAAGTTGTGTACAAACAGGAATTATTATATTAATATTAACTTATATTATTTCCAGATTTTTACAATCATTTATTTATACATGAACTTTAAACTTTGGTGATTATCGTCATAATTATATCCAATAGTCACCAACTTAATTATAATATTTTTATCCAGTTCTCACTAATTTTAATGCTGAAGTTTTTATTTATACAATTGTTATTTTTATTTTTAATAATTTCAACACACTCTAAATTTTCTGTTATATGTTTTCTTCTCTTTATGTAGAATCTGTATGTTAGATTTATCTATGTTGCAATTGTTTAGTACACAATCATCATGGAATACTGAGTTTAATCGGTGATACTTCAAATCGGACATATGTTCTTTAACTCTTATTTTTAGTTTGCATTCTGTTTCGCCTATATAAAAACTGTTGTTTTTATCATGTACTGTACATGGTATTTTATATACAATATTTTTCGTTTCTTCTTTATTTATTTTTTGTTTTTTCATACTTTGTTTAGCCTTCAATCTGGGGAATAGATTTCCATATTTTGGAGCAAGTTTCATATTATTTTTCTTCATTTCTGTATCTATTTGCTCATACATATTTTTTATGTATGGAAAACTTAAATATTTTACTTTTGTTTTTCTATCAATTATTCTGGTTTTTTTATCTTTTGTTTTGGTAGCGTTATCTATTATTTTTTGCCATTTATTAATTAATCTGATTGGGTATCCGTTTATGTTGAATTTTTCTTTAAATTATTTATATGTTTATTTTTAATAATTTTGTTACTGGTTCTATTTTGTATTTTTATTTTTCTGACAAACATTTTTTTATAATATTTGCGAGACTGTTGGGCAGGCACTCATTAAGTTTTGCATCAGTTTTTATTTTCGAAAGGTGAGAGTATAATAGCAAAGGTAGAGAGTGGGCAGATGTCTGACGTCTCTTGTTGCTGGGCAGTATGGCTCGAACAGGTCTACACTAGAGAATTGTTTATTGGCCGCAGTTCAATCTTATCTAAGAAAGATACTGTATTATCAAGAAGACTCAAGTAGCTTGAGGAGTAACAAAAATCACATCTGAGAAATAAAGAACATTGAAGAGCTCATAATGGAACTTGAAACTGATCTGATGACAGAAGAACGCCAAGAACTCTTGAATGAAGAACACCGAGAAACCTGGCAAGATATGTTTTCTTCTGAAAAAGAGAATTAATGTCGATATCTGCTATTAAACATTTTTTTAAAGAAGTAGGGTGATGTCAGAATGACGGTCTTAGAATGGCATCCAAACCAGGTTGAGGTTAATAGGCTTAGGGATCTCTACAATTACAATACTATTAATTACTTCTGAAAAATCTTGAAGGAGAGAAAAGCAATCAACATTATACAGATTCTTTAACCCCAAACAGAAAAAACATGACTAATAAAAATGCAAGACTGTGTGTATATGTATTTTTATTATTACATATAAATATAGTTTTTATTTTTGGGGAGTCTCCAGAACAAATTAATCAAATTCCCATAAAAACCTATGATAAATCGATAATCGGTTAATGAACAATTCGGATAGTGAACAAAGTCTTGGAACAGATTTTGTTCATTAACCGATCACCCACTGTATTCAATTATATATATATAAGTTGATTATTTGACAAAAAGCACAGAAATAAGCTTCAAAATGGGTGAACAATATTGTGTCCCTACACAAACAAACAAACATCCATATATATAGAAACACCCCCAATTTTTTTCCATTTTGCAACATTTCAAGGTCTTCTAAGTACAAGAAATGTAATAATCTTGGGATGGTCACTTATTTTTATCCATCACCAAGAAAGTAAAAATCAAAAAAGGCATGTAACATAGCAAGTCATGAGTGATATTAAAACATGTTACATATAATATTAACATATGTTAACAAAATTGTATCCTTTAATATGTTTGCTTGTTGTGTTTAAGGAGGAGCTGAAAGAGTGCTTTTGCTATGCTCTTGCTTTTTAATTTATTAATTCTGTTTCCCAACCAGTATTCCACGTAACACTAATAGAGAACTAACATTTTTTAATCCTTCTCTTTCTTCAGATCTTCCTCAGGTCCAGTTTTTCTTAGAAAAGTATGAATCCAAAATGAACATATTCACAAGTTCCAAATGCATATTACTTTTATGGAATATTTAACAAAATTTCAAATTAAAAGAATTATCCCAATGCAAATTCATTTTTTTTAGAAAGTTTAAAAAGTTTTAAAAGCCTCCAATTATATAAAATAAATGGTGTATGCCATAGTAATTGAAAGGTTAAATGTAATCAAGATTGAATCAAGTCTTATATTTGCAAGAACTTTTGTTAGGTGGATACTATAGTTAACAGGTTTAAAATGCTATAATACTGGAAATGATACTAATGTCACTTAACTTCCAAGTTCATTTATATTTCATAAACAAACATCATGAAACCCAACAAATTTGTAAAGCCAAACCACCACTGGATTACCTCGAGCTACTTTTCTGCAAATATATTTAATTAATTACTAAATAATTTGTCACTAGAGGGAGGCATTAGGCTCCATCTCTTATTAAATTTATACTTCATTTAAATTTACATCATTTCATTTAAACTTCGAATCTAATGAGCACTTCATTTCTCAGCTTCTCAAAAAAGTTGAAAAAGGTGCACATTAAAATATAATAAATATAATTATATCTTTCAAAAAGGGATTTTAGTAACATTTTGCAAAAATAGTGACTTTTAGTTGAAATAGTAACTGGTTCCAAGCCCTGCAATCATTGCAAACTGCAAGCATTGCTGACATGTAAACAGATTCTACATATTATCTACTCAGTGATTTGTAACTATGAAACTGTGTTGTGATCAGACCTCCTCTACAACCTCATTTCCAAAGAAAAGAGACTGCTAGGTAAGGTTGCCAATTGCTTTTCAGTGAATCCTGCAAGATGACACTTAAAAATAGACAATTTATGAGAGAAAAAGCTAGATTTTTTTTTCTTAAAACAATTTAAAGTTATATAATTCAAATTTTGTACTTTCCTGAAACATTGCAATTATACTTAAATTTAATTAGCACACATGATGTGATCTTAGATCATCATACATATCACACGATACAATGATGTGGACATTCAAATTGCTTCTATGTTTTCTTTTCCATTATACAATGCACTATACACTCTGCAATAATAATTTTTTTCTTTTCCATGTTTAATACCAAATTCCCTGAGATTTCCAGGTTTTCCAGCCTATTGGACACCTGCTGATAGTTACATAAAAGACAAATTATTGCCAGATTAAATCAGGCTACATTACCACTTTTCACAATACAGCTTGAACCTGATGCTAAATCAGGTTCAAGCTGTATAAAAAGAAAGTATAGAAAAGAAGCTCATATAAAAAGTAAGTGAAAAAACACTGAGTGTGACATTAACAGTTTTTTATTTTCACTAGCACTTTCAATGAACTTATATTCATCTTCAGGCAAACAAAAAAAAACAGAATATTCAATGTAAATGAAATAAATATTTAAATAGAAATTAAATGATATATATTTATGTGCATGATCAAAGTTGTTATGCAAGATATTGAAACGTCATGCAGTGCATGCATGAGTGTATATCCACATCAAATGTGTGATGGCAAATGCATATCACTGTACAGCTGTTTGTATAGTGCAACCCACATGCTGGGCAGGTGAAGTGTGGGTGTGTTGCATGGTTCCAAGGTTGTTGTGAGGATAGATTCCCATATGAAGATGCATTTCCTGTCACTGCATCACCTGAGTAGCTTTGTGTTAGAATCCAGGGACTTTTTTTTTTGTAATTATTAACAAAAAAATACACTTCCCTTTTACCGTCCGTTTCGATGGAGTTAGGAACAAGAGAATAGCAAATATTGACTTAACTGTCAACAAGTTCTTTCCTCCCTCACATCAACCTGCGAAATTATCACAAATATGCAAGAAAGTTGACACTTAAGTTAAGAATGAAATTTAAAACAATCGAAAGAAATACGAATCAACTTTGTTTAGTTTTCATCAACCAGCTATGACACCTTTGACATGTCATCATTACCAAACAGTCACCTGATCAGATTCCCACACTAAATACACATATAATGCAAGCGCACCCAATCTTCTGGGCAATCAGTCCCAAAGGATTACCCTTTTGGCGTGTGAAATGTGTAGGTGCCATCCAGCACATATTCTCCTGGATCTTTGCTCCCTACTGATCGCCCATCTGACAGACCATATTGCCAACATCCAATACAACTGGATCGGGAACCAATGGCCCACTGTACAAGGTAGAATACTTTCAATTACACTTGTAAACTCTCTCTCTCTCTCAATTAAAGGTAGACAGTATGAGGGAAAATTAGCCTTTGCACCTCGCAAGAGCCATATATATGCTTAACACATAGCTGTACATTTAGTTGTAGCTGTATATTGTAATCTAGGTTTTAGATACATATTAAATTTGTTATTTCATTAAACATGGTGTTGACTCAATTATTTGGAACTTGGAACAATATTAAATTGCACATGGCTCCTCCCCTCTTGACAAAAATTAGCCCTCCTATTTAATACAGCCATCCAGTGACAACATGAGTGGATCTCACTGATCAGTCGCCAATCAAAGGAGTTTAAAGTTTGACACTCTACCCCCAGCTTCTCACAATTGTTTGAACCAAATGAAACAAAGATGGGAAAGGCCACCTGAGGTCAAATGTTGGAGCAAGTGGTTCATCTTTCGCGTGTAAAGTAAGGACAGAGAACATGGTGCTTCATGTAATTGAGATCAGTAAGACTGGTGAAACATAACTAGTCTGAGAAGGATTAGTGAACTTATTGAAAAGACAATATAGCAAGTCTTAAACAAAAAGAAAAAAAAAAGGAAAAGGAAGATGACAACTGGAAATCAGTCCAAGCATGTTCCATGTGGCCTCCCACCAAAAGTGTGTAACATTCGTACATCCTGGGTATTTTATTCTTTTCTGTTATCTATCCCACTGTTTATTACCTTCCCTTTCTGACTTCCCTCTTCTTTAGTTAAGTTAGTTTTAAGTATTAGTTGATGCATTACCTGAGCTTGGTTTTCTGTACATGTTGCGATATTTTTGTCATTTGTCCGCCGATAATTTTAGGTGACATTGTATTACCGTTTATTAGAGAGGTTGCAGCCCAAGTTCAAATGTTACTTGTATACGGCAAGCAGAAGTACATGGCTTATGTTTTAACTCCAAGAAAAAATCATTGCAGTGCATGTTCACAACATCACGTGACTCAGTGAATGTCACGCATTGACTAACAGGAAGTTTGTTGAAAAAATGGCAGATACATTTAACATCGAGGGTTACCAGTAAAGGTATTTTAAAGTATTTATAGAATGTTTAATAATACTAAATTATTTTTAATTAGCTTGGTGTCTCCCACCATACAATCAGGCAATAGGATTACCTCATACTTTTGTCGAGGGAAGTAATGGCTTACATAAATTCGAAAGCAGCTCAGAAAATTAATTTTTAGAAAATTTACAAACATATTAATATTATGTACGCTGTTGACAATAGAAGATGCCACGGGAGAACAAACCTACCTTAAGATAAGCTATTATGAAGGCATGTAAATTCTATAGGCACTTCGCATCACTTGCTAAAAAATTGAATAATTAAATAATTTCTGGATTAAACTCATCTGTTTCTTTACATTATTATTTGAAAATGCTAAAATAATCATTATTTTAATAAAATAGGTCATAATGTTAATTCCAAACACAAAAAAAAAAAATGAAAAAGTTTAAACCGATCTTCTACTCGCCATGCTAGACGTAACTAATGCCATTATTGATCGTCTATTGCCAGATGGCGGCGCTCAACCGTCCGCTGTTCACGTTTTGGGCTGAATATGACAGCCACAACCTCTCTATTGTTATTAAGTTGAAATCCTTAATTAAGAACCTATATCTTTTCTGTAAAAATAAATACTTTGTTCCATCATCTGCTGTACATGTTTCTTTATTTGGTGTATTCATCTTTGTTAGCTAACAATCATCAACTATGTTCTTCACAAAAGAACACAAGAACTGTTACTCATATAATTAAAATCTATATACAGTAGAGCGTCGATTATCCAAATCAATTGGGGACTGGGGTTGTTTGGAAGATCAATGTTTCGGATAACCGATTATATACGAAAAAATATATTTATTTATCCCATCTTGACATTTTTCTCTGTTGCGTGTCGCTTCACGTTGAATTTTCATCGATGTTAAGCCTAACGAAGACTATTGTATCGTTAAAAATTATTTTTTTATTTTGTACAAACAAAATAAATATAATTTATGTATATGTTAATTTTCTCTGTAATAATGGATGGATTATGATATTTTTGTGTAATGTACATGTAACGAATTATTGTATACCCCGCATCATGGGCTCTGCCTAGTACGTCTAATTAAAAATAAATATATTGAAAAATATAAAAACAATAAAAACTTATACTTCAGAAGTTAATTTAGTATCAAAAACGTAAAATATTTGAGTAGCCCAAGACACAGCCAAAGATTGCAGCGCCACAGCACTGGTGAAAATTTAAATTTGCCAACTGGAATTCTTTCGGATGATTGACGTTTCGGATGATTGACTTTCGGATAATCGACACTCTACTGTATATAAAAATGAATGTATGTCTGTGTGTCTGTCCTTCATGCATTACCACACCGTTTATCCAATTGCCATGAAACTTTGGGAAGTTGTTTAATATACTCCTGCAAAGGTTTCTTGGCAATAGTACGATTGCCATGAAGCTTTGGGAGTTAAAACAACCACTTCACACCTAAGCGATAATTCCGGCAAACAAACACTAAAAGGTTTAATGTTCAAACGTTTTCAGCCGTCTTTCAGAGGCCCTCATCAGTTTTTGGTTCCAATTTTTTTTTGCTGGAATTATCACTTAGGTGTGAAGTGGTTGTTTTAGTATATATTTCCAGTTTCTTTGTCAGTTTTTATGTCTGCTTTGGGAGTTTTTTAATACACTCCCGCAAAGGTGTCAGGCATAGTACATTTATCCTATGATAGATGGCGTGCATGTATACGAGTGTATCGATCACAGTGTGTTCGATCGATTTCAAATTGTGAAGACCATTTCCCCCTCCAAAAAATCTCTCTATATATGCATTTGTGAACTGTTATTTACGATATTTGTAATAATTTTTGTTTAATCACTTTATTTCAACTTTTTTTTTTTTTTGCTAATTATGTATTCGCTTGAACTTTGTTAAAACCTTAACTGTACCCCAAACAACAACCAAAGTTGTAGGAGGAAATTTGCTTATTTTACCGATATAGGGATCCCCCTTTTCCAAATTTTAATATTGACTCAAAACAATTTAAAAAGACAAATTACAATAAAATGGTTTATTATCCAACTATCAGAAATGTCACAACACGCCAAGGAAGAGAGGAAAGAGCAATTAAATAATTTAAATTATAAAGGATTAAAAAATATATATAAAAATGGGGAATATCGCACTTCTGACAATCGCTGCGAGTATGTGAGCTAAATTTGGAGAATCTGTGCTCTCGCATGGACATCTGTATGTGGCCAACTCACGCGTCAAAAAACCTTCTGATTTATTTGTGTACGCACCAGACAGAAAAACAAAAAATATCATGTATCCACAAACACTCCAATAAATAGAATTGAAATTACACTTTGAAATGTTTTCCCAATGAAAATGAATAATAATAAGTTTCAATAAGAATGATAAAATGTAAATTGAATTTTATCATAATGAGTTTGCTTGAATTCCTTTCTTCTGTGATCGCAGCAATGCGCGACGGGTAAGCTAGTTTGTTATAAAATATATCAACGCTGTAAACTTCTAATTTATGGTTTGACTGACCATCATTACGTGAATCAAACCATATATTAGAAGTTTACAGTGTTGATATATTTTTATAACAAATTCCAATTATACTGGTCAAAAACATCAGTGTACCTATTAAATCTGTTTATTGCTAGAAGTGTAAGATGATATACTTCAAAAACACAAGGTTGAAAAAATACTTTTTAAATAACGTGAGAATTAAATTTCTTCTTTTAGATTTAAAACAAATTTAATAATGTAACTAATTAATAAGACAAAAAATGTTTCCAGTGCTCTAGTGTTCCTTTAATAAATGAATTTAAAATGTTTCTGTTTTACAAGTTTATAAACTTTAAATAATTTAAACAATGACAAATTCATTAAGTTTTCTAAATCAAAATTCTACTTCAGTTGAAACTACATTAAAGTGAAATTCTTTCTGGATAATTCTAGAATTATAATAAAATATTAATCTAATACTACATCTTACATATCAATTTAATTAAAAATATTAAATGTTTTCAATTAAAACAGACTACTTTTGATTGTAACAGAATTAAGTAAATTAATTCTCTTAAAAATTGCTCTTTATTTTTTATATAAAATAAACAGCAGCTTTTTAAATTATAATTTTGACTTTTTTAAATTATCAAATTTTAAAATTTATTTATTTATAAAATTTTAAATAAAATTTTTTGAATACTTTACCTTTGGCATTATAATTAACTTTAAATCTTCTTATAAAAGAAGGTAGACTTTTACTTATTTGTAGTTCTGCTGTCAATGCCTTAACTCCAGTGAGAATTGAAAACTGTTCTAAAATAAATAAAATAATTAAATCTTAATACAACTGATTTGCTTTCAAACAAAATGTAGTTTAATTTCTTAAATATATTATTGCATTGAAAATTTATACTACAAAGAATATAAGTTTGTTTTTGGAAATCATGTTACCTAGAACAGAATAGATACAGTAGATAGATAATGCAGTCAACCTGTGTAAATATGAATTGCTAGGGGAATAGTAGTTAGTTCATTTTATCAAAAATTTATATTAATGATTTTCAGGGTGAAAGTTGTATAATTTAGTGAGCTAAGGCTTAATAGGCAATCAAAATCTCTAAATTATAATATTTTAAATTAATTTACTAAATAAAGTTAAATTTAAATCTTGGTTGCTTGCTATTCTCTTTACTGTACAAAATTAAATTTATTTACAAAAATAAATTAATGATCTAAATGATTTTCAAATCAAACAAAATGAGGAAGCCATATATCTGTCATTTAAGTGTAAAGCAGTATATCAGAGTGGTTAAACAAAACAAAGCTAAAAGAAATCCATGACTTTTTTCTGTTGAGGATTGTTTGAAAAAGTAGAAACTATTTTTTGGTATATAGAAATATGTTCTTTAACAATGCCAAATTTATATTAAGTCGGATGGCAGTTAACGTGTTAAGAATAAACTGCCTTTTACAAGGGTCTTACGGTCTCAGAAATTCAGTTCAGGATGAGACTTTGAAGGTTAGTAGTATACCTCAAGGGTGTCCACCCAGAAGAATTGTAAAGCGCACTAGCAACAAGATTCCGAGAAAAAAGGCTCTAAAGTTTTAAGTGAAGCTCATATATTGATCGATTTTACATTATGGCAGCACAGCGAAATGGCTGAGCCTGTAGCGAACTTGCTTGCCACGTGGACAATCTAGGTTCGATTCTACCTTCGGCTAACTTTTTTTTTTTAAATTGTTTTAAAAATTGTAACAACTTTTAAATAAAGTTAATGACCTAAAAATATTATCAATTAAATTATAAATACAAAGCTTTGTTATAAACATTTAAAAATTCATTTTCAAATCTTTTCTTTTCATATAGAGATAAATCTTTCATCTTTTCCATAACTTCATACCTGAAAAATTTATTCTCAATTCTAGATGTGAATTGTTGCTTAAAATCTTTTAGAATCATTTATAAGTCAATAACTATGGTATTTTCTAATAATTTTTATATTAAATTTAGAATTTTATATCTCAACAAAGATTTTTTATTGTGTTCACAAAATCCAATACGTGCATTCAGAAATTAATTAAATGTTCTTTGTGTCTCTTTTTAATTTTTTAAAATAACAATGTTTGAACATAAAGTTTTTTTGTCTACAAATGTAAAGTAGGACAATTAAGTTTTCATTTAGGACATAAGACAACTATTGTAATTGGACCAATTACACTACCAACAACAGGACACATGCCAACCCTAGTCAGCTTATTAAAAATTTTTTGTTCCAATTGGTTGCTTAACTAGTTTTCAAGAAAATTTGATTGTGTCTTCCAAAGTTATTATCCCATGTTTTACATCTTCAGCTCTAAATGAACCTTTAAGTTATTATTCTAAGAAAAATATGACTTTGAATGTGGTTGCACTAGAAATGATGTTCCACCAATAAAAATCATATTATTTTACTTTTTGTCATTATAATTTGGTAAAATCAATATTTTACAGAACTTAAAAGTAAGCAAAAATCAATTATTTTCCTTATTCATTTGATGAATCTTAACATAACTTATTACATTTTGCAACTTGCTTTAGTTAATTTTAAGCTAGGCCATAGTATTGGAAATAACTGATTTTCTTGAAAGTTGAAACTCATGATGTAACACCACTAATATTGGAAATTAATACCATAGGAAGCACTTTCAGTGAAGTAAAACAAACAACTAAAACTTGAAACTGATACTCTGCATTCCTAAATGAAATTGCATTATTGTTTAAAGTGCTTTAAGCTGGAACTGAGTTTTGTTGATAGGTTTCAGAACAATTTATTAAGATCTCTCTAACAAATGATATTTATCCATATGTCATTTGTCAGAGAAATCTTTACACTCAACAAATTAAGCTGCAGAATTTAGTAAGAATTTATAGCAACCATAATCATACAGAATATAGTAACTTTTGCTATTTGAAATGCCAGGTATAGTATGCCAAAATAGAAATCTGTCTTCACTGATTTGTTAACGGCAAAAAAANTGTCGCTAGTGCGCTTTCCAGGTGTGAAAGTTGACAGTTATTTATGATTTAATTGATAATATTTTTAGGTCATTAACTTTATTTAAAAGTTGTTACAATTTTTAAAACAATTTAAAAAAAAAATTTAGCCAAAGGTAGAATCGAACCTAGATTGTCCGTGTGGCAAGCAAGTTCGCTACAGGCTCAGCCATTTCGCTGTGCTGCCATAATGTAAAATCGATCAATATATGAGCTTCACTTAAAACTTTAGAGCCTTTTTTCTCGGAATCTTGTTGCTAGTGCGCTTTACAATTCTTCTGGGTGGACACCCTTGAGGTATACTACTAACCTGCAAAGTCTCATCCTGAACTGAATTTCCGAGACCGTAAGGTCCCCTTGTTAGTGTTAAAGTTGTTTATTTGCAAAGTTTTTAATTACAAACAAAATACTTTTGACATTTCAAAATGTCATCTTCAGACAGAGTGAATACCATTCAAATTACAATTTTTAAAAAAAGCATGTTAACTGTGAGGATCAAAGGCACAGACAGTTGATCTATGTCACTTACTGACTCACAATCGTTAGATTGGCTCACTAAGACTTTTTCTAGGAGGGCTTGTTGTAAGTAAATAGGATATAGACTACAGAATCTCTTTCCAACGTCAGGATAATGACACCAGTTAATCAGATTTTTTTTGTATGCAGATTAACAAGCGTATTGAATCATGGAAGGGATGATGAAATATATTTGATTCAGATATTTAAGAGACATTCTTTTTAACAAATAAATCAAAAACAAACAAAATTATACAAAATTAAATCAATCCTTGAATGAAGCTATTTTGAGAGAGAGAGAGCTCACAATTTCTATCATAAATCATACTACCTCTAATATCTTTATCTTCATCTGTCTTTTAGATTAATACGACAGTACCTTCTTCGTTAGTTCTTAATAGCACATATTTAAACAATTTCTTCTCTAGTTTTACCGACTTATAACTCATTTCGTAGAAACTTCTGGATTCTATTTTGGGCATTGGCCGTCGGGAGCTGAAGTGGAATACATCTCTCCTTCTTTGGATCTTTCGGTGTACTTCCCGAATGATGCTAGATTCTCTCTCTTTCTTATGAATTTTCACTAATCATCAATTTGTATTTTTCCATGTGAACAGGAAAAAGGGGATTTTACTGAGGGGTTGACAGTTCCCAGGGTGACTAAGATTTTCAAGAGATAAGGGAAAACAAAAGGATGTTTCAACTTTTGTTGAAGGAAGTGATTTTTACCAGTTTCCTTTGTTTTAGAAAATATAATTTTCCCATCAAAATCAATGAATATTTTTGTCAAAAATTTTACTTTTTCCAATTAAATTTTTAATGAATCACAGGGGTGGTTCGCATCTCACATTAACAGATTCCAAATGCACCATTTGAATAATAGCACATAGTTTTTACATAAAATCAACCCTCATAAACAACCTTCTGTTCATATGTAGGACTGTTACTCTATGTATAATTTGGGCCTTGAAGAAACAAGGGGTTATTCTTTCCACTGAGCTACAAACAGTTCTACATAGGATTCTTTGTAATGACAAAAATAGTCTTGCCTTTTTGGAAAATCCAGGAGTCTACATGATCCCCTTACAGTAAAACTGTATGGAATCAAAAACCTTTTATATAGGAGCTACCAGTTTGGTGGAGTCGGTAAACAAAAAGTCTGACTCCAAGAAATTTGTAATGTTCAACTCCGATCTACCCTTTAAAAAAATGGTTTTGAACAGCGATTCTGAAAACAGAACCTGTTCAAAAACCTGGTGAAGGCTTATTAATCAAGCTGAAACATTAATTGTATTAAAGTTTAAGTTGCTGGAGAAGTACATAAGGTATTTTGTGTCTCTCTAGTTACTGTCTATTTCTAGCTTTCACCTGTATTGACTAAAAATATAGTTCTCTTTTAGAAAATGTAAAAATAACTAAAACACAGTGTTTAACACTACTAATTTTCAAAAATATGCACATATATTAAAATATATAAATATGTTAAAGCTGTAGATGTCTTCATTTTCCATCAACATATTTACAGGTATCCCTTGCTTAATGCTGAATTTGATTAACCTACAAAATTAATTGTGGCAATCCCTTTATATATGCAGCAGAAGTTTTAATTAATTAATTAATTAACTACATTAATCAAGGAATACTTGTATATAATTTACATTTAATTAATGTAAATACCATCAGCCAAATTTTTAATTTTACCCAATTGTATTGTGAATTATTATATTGGCATAATCACCAGAGGACCTTTCTACCCATTTTTCAATTTTTGTGAAGGTGTAACCTCAAATAAAAGATTCTCTCTGTAAGTGAAAATTGCTTTGGACTGTCATTGGTGTTGTGAATGATGAAAAATGAAGACATTTTGTAGCTTCAAAATATTGATATATTTTATATTTTAATATAAGTACTGATGGTCAAATTTTTAATTATAGCACAAATTCTGCAAGCTTGGACTATATTGTCATAAAAATAGCAACCAACTGAACCTTGAAAGAAATTCCAGGATATTTTATTGTAAACTCTAAAATTTTTGATCTTTGCAGATCTTCCTCAGGATATAGCGTTCTCCAAATCGGAATGTATACGTTAAACTTAATACAAGACAGCAGCCTAACTTCCTACCTTTAGTCCAAAATTATTTAATATCTTTATGATTAAACATATTATAGCCCAATCAATATAAAGAAATTGCTTTTTGCCTTGGTATAATTAAATAAATTAAAAATCTACTAATATGAGGTAGATAATAAGGACTTATCAT